ATCAGATCCTCTCCTTCAAGATCAACGAATCAAATTTCCCACTGAGCCTGAACTAACAGTCTGTCTTCCTCTCGCCTTCCAGTTCCGCCTGAGCAGAGTTCAGGGAAACTCTGCACCGAGCTTAACATCTTCAATAAAATCCTTCAAACTTTTCATCCGTGTCTCTCTGTTTGGTTTCACTGCATGTGGGTCCGAGCCTTAGATAAAATCATGACATTAACTGTACTTTGACTGGACCTTTCAAATGTTAAGACTGCCTCCCTTGTTTCAAACTGTGGCTGGCAACACTCAAAATGTTTGAAATCATTGCTCCTGTATCAAGACTTGACCACCTCCACTGAGGACCGTTAAGTCACATGAAGAACCTTGGTAGTCTGTTGCTCTCAGGTTCCTGTTTCAAGTCCGCAAACTCATTCTGGTGGCTTCCCTACGGCTGCTTCAAAAATATAGGTAAAACTACCTTTCTAGATCCTGATCGTCATTACATACCTGTAAGCAGCCTTTATGGCAATTGACTATCTCAAACCATCTGAAACTCGTTCCAGCTGACATTTCTACCAATATTATCCCTTTGGCAAATCTGATCCTGGGTCGTCGTTCATTTACAACATTCAGGTAAATAAACTCTTGAAATCTCTTTCAGTCTCTTGAGTTGCTCTGCATGTGGGTTATATATTTACCAAACAACATGACAATTATTGGAAGTACTACCACTGTGAAGAGTTTTCTTCTAACATTCTACCAGGATTGCCCTAAATCTGTTATTGCACTCTTTAAAGAGTTGCTTTCTTCTTGCTAGTCTTCTATAAAGGCCAGACATGTTAATTTACAAGGTATCCTGTTGATAGTTTCTCCAACTATGGAGATGTGGATGTCTGAAAGCTTTAGGATATTGTTTTGTACCCTAACTGCTTAAAACTTCTTTAAAAATGTACCTCTCACAAGTTTGTTCTGTTTTGTCCTTTTTGCTCATCAGTGCTCTGTTAAAAATAACCCCTGAGACCTTTACAGAATATTTGTTTCTTCTGAACGAATTTGGCTGCACTACATGTATTCAAGGGGTATCAGAGTAAATTATGTTGAATCAAATGCATGCAATACTTTTTGGAGTCTAATCATCCTTTTAGTTCACAATTATGCACTTGTTTTGTTGGTTTATCAATACATGTTCATAGAATACTGGTTTGTGGTTGTAAAGCAGGAAAAAGAGTAAAAAGTTAAAGGGGTATGAATAATTTTATAATAATATAGTCAACATGTACATGTTTCTCCAAGGCTGGACAACATGAGGCTCCTATTACATAAAAAAGACCTTTAAAAGGTAGCGAACCAACCCACATTCCAAGCCCTCTGTGGAGTGTGAGTGGGCAGTGGGAGATTTGACGGCAAGGCACTCACTCAAGACTTAACACAGGTGAACGCTCCAGCGAAGAGTCGGCCCTCCCTACAGGCTCGATTCGCTCAATTCTCCTTTCGTATGTTCTTCGGTCTGCTTCCTCCTCCTCCTACAGAAAAAATAGGAAAGATATTATTAAAAAAAAAAAAAACTATTGTCATTCCTTTAGCTTTACTGCAAACTATCTGTAGTAAATGAGTCCCTATGTAGTAAATCAAGCAACTTGAGTTCAGGGCAAATTGGAGGCTTGATGCATTTTCTGAAACACTAGCCATAAATATTTTATTGGGTGTAGCAACAAAGATCTCAAGTAACTGCTCAGGCTTGATCAGTAACGTCTGACCTGGGGAGCCAGACTTTGAAGAGGTGCCATTGAGGTTTAGTGCACAGAAAGTGTTTACATCGGTTGTTGACTGTTTCACTCAAGCTCCTCATTTCAGTAACTCATCGTCCTTCAGGGCCATTAGGCAGGCAGCAGCTTTTACAGGCAGCCCAGACATCTGAAGACTTAACTAGGCCCCAGGATGAGACAGCGGCTTCATGCCCCCCTAATGAGGGATAAAAATCTTCATTTAAGGTCTTTTTATGGGGATACTAGAGATTGAGTCGTTCACTTACATGCGGCGGTGACATCGCTCATGTATTAGAGCTAGAGGACACATCTAATAACAGAGTTTCTTTCAACTAATCAGCTGCTGAAGCTCTCATCAAGGGTTAGCAAGCACTGTACAACAGTTTTTTTTTTTTGGTTTCAGTTCCTGCTTCCAGTCGGGTTAGTGACTAAGGATACTTAAGTGTGCATTTTGTTTCCTGCCAGTTCGTGTGTGTGCTCTTGTCAGCAGCCTGGGATTGCATTGTCTCCGTGAAGGTAGGGGCTGTGCGCTGAAATGCTTTGTTAGCCACTGCTATTTTCACGCCCTCACCCCTCACCTTTCCCTCTTTCTCTCTTTACTGAAATGTCAAGCAGATCCAAATAGGTCCTGTGCCTTTCTGCTTTCTTTATGGAAATAAATTCAACCCTTTTCATTGACCAGGATATCTTAGCAGACACTCATAGGTGGCACACTGAGACTCTGTCTTCAATTTATTTATTATAGTCTGGAGGTAAGAAGAAAGAGAGGGGCCATGAAAATTTCATCAGCAGCACCCCTTAAAAGACCCATCCTCCCTGTCGATTTTCCTTTCTCTAAGCGACCGATATGAAAATGAGGCAGCCAGCCAGTGACCCCTGCCTTTAATTACATGTCCGTTAAGGTTGTGGATGTTTCAAAGGGCCTCTTATCCACAAAGTTCTTTTTATGAAAATTCCCTCAGGGTTTTTTTTTTCCCCCCTCAAAGTAAACTTCTTATATCACCTGTGGTAAGTCATAGATGATAATCGGTGGACAGAGACTCAAACGAATAGAGGAAGCTCCTGCAAAAGAATAAAGGCTGCTGAATACTGCATAAAATAGAACAAGTAAAAATAAATCTTTCATAGGATTTTGAAAAAGCTGAATTTGATAAAAGCTGTTACAAATATTAAATCGAGTCCAAGATCCCTTAGTTTTAACATGTTGCATCATTATAGTGTTTTTTTAGTTCAAGAAAATAGGTTGCTATCACAAATAATGCATATGTTTCTGAAGATTTCCTTGCCTGGATGTAAAAGCTAAAAAAACTGTAATGATATGAAAAAGGGGAACGGTTCCACAGCTTTTCCGCTTTACAATTATCTCCTTTGGGTTTTTATCTCAATTTACCGGTCGATCTACCTTCCTACCCTCATCTATGGTCATGAACTCTGGGTCATGACCGAAAGAACGAGATTGAGGAT